CACACACACACGCACACACACTCTCTCACACACACACACACACACTCTCTCACACACACACGCACATCACAGTCTGACCTGAGTGCTGTTCTTCTCTCTTCCCAGACGAGAAACGTATAATGAAGATAATGCACGGCAGCAGGAGCTCCTTCACTTCAGCAACAGCTTCCTCGGAGAGGTCGTCGTTCACAGAGGGAAGTGCATCGGTAAGATCTGTGAAAAATCAGCGTTTGACGGCCGTTTAGGAGTTTGTGCGATTCTAATTATTACCATTTAAGCACATGATTAGTGAGATTGACTAGTGCAGGGATTCCCGAACCTCTTTGAGCTCAAGTACTATTTTTATTTATATATAATTCAATAGCATGTTTACATGTTCACGGTTCTCTGATGTCGGTTAACGGTCACATGATATGAAATATTTAAAATATTTAATCGTTTCGTAGGTGTTTTATTTTGATTTATTTTATTTTAAAATGTATTAATTTTAACTTTTCATTTTTTAATTTAATATTATATTAATATTATGTTCTTATGCTTTTAATAATTGTCACATTTTATTTTATTTTATTCTTCTATTTTAAAATGTTTATTCGTTGTAACGTTACATTTTTATTTGATTAAATTCATGTTTTTATTCATGTTTTATTTAAATTTTTTCTTTTTAAAATTATTATATAACATTCTTATCTTATATATTTTTACAAAATGTTTTATTTTGGTTGTAATTTTGCATTTATATACTTGATTTTTTAGAAAATTTTAATTCAGATTTTTTAATTTAATTAATATTACATTCTTAAGTTTTTAATAATTTTAGTGTTTGATTTTATTCCATTATTATTTTATTTTAAAACCATTTATTAATAAACAAAAAATTACATCTTCATTTTATTATTTTATTCTGTTTTAGAAACATTAATTTCGGTTTATTTCATTTTGATTTATTTTTAAATTATCTGTGAAATTTTTAATTTTTATACTTTAATCATGTTAATAGTGTGATTCGTTTATATAAAAAAAAATTATTGTTATTATTATTTTTTTTTTTAATGATTAAATTATTCATGAGCTGTTCATCAACTCTCGAAAGCCTGGACTAGAGCTGGATCTGGATGAGTTTGGATGCTGATCTCTCTCTCTGTGTCTCAGGTGAGAGCGAGCGACTGGGTCGCAGTGTGTATTACGCGTTTAACTCCAGCTCTGGAGATTTCTCCGTCGTCTGCGAGTGGATCCTTCGCTGGAACAAGACAGTCGGAAAGTTCTTCACCAGCCAGGAGAGAGAGAAAATAGAGAAATGCAAAAAACAGGTAGAGAAATCAACAAATCATAGCTGAGTTTTAAGTATCTGATATAAAATTTTAGTTGCATAAAGAAATTTAAACATAGGCACAATTGATAAATGGATGAAACTGCCTGTTGACTATAAAGCATATTTCATCGCAATATCCTGCATTAAATGATATCAGGCAATAGTTTTGTTCAGAAAATTAATTCATGGAAGCCTTTTAAAAATTAATAATTTGTGCAATTAAAAAATATTTTTTAAATCAAATATCAAATGAAAAAAAATCATATTTGCTATATTTTAATATTTTTTAGTGGAAATTATAGTTGTTTTTTGTTCTTAGTGTATTGAATGTTTTATACGTATGATTTTAGTTTCTAGTTTTCCATTTTAGAAACGCTTTTCTATTTAAATTCTATTTTCTATTTTTAATATATTGATGATTAATATTTTAATTTTATAAAGAAATGTATACGTAGGCACAATTGGTGAATGAATAAAAGTGTCTGCTGGCAATAAAGCATTGAATATCATTAAATAATATTAGGCAACAGTTTTATTCAGAAATATCATTCATGGACATTTTTTTAAAAAGACCTCTGTGAATATTTGACATTTTCTGTCAAATATCAGATTGATATTTTCTTGATGGATCTTATAATTGCTATATTTTTAATATAATTAATTTTTATATATTTATGTCTACAATATTTCTTTTTTATAATTGCTATATTTTTTATAATGTCGTAGGGGAAATACTGCTTTTTTAAATTCTTTATTTATTTAATATTTATTAATTTTATGATTTTGATTTTTTTTATCGAGTTTGCTGCTGATCTAGCATTAAATAAATGAATAAAGTACCTGCTAAATGAATAAATGCAAATGTTAAACGCTCTGCCAAGTCAAGGGTTCGCACTTGTTAATTTTTCATTCATTGTCTGATATAATATTTTGGCAGCTGCTATTTACACGAAGTGAAAATAGCAATGGAATCTATTTACACTATTAAAACAGCAGGATTTTCTACTATTTATACTTAATGCAAATAGTGGCAATTATATGCACCTCAGTATTGTAGTACATTATAAAACAGTATGCAGTAATAACATATTGAGTGTAAATTTATAATTTTAATTCAAATTATTAATTTGATGCCACCTTATTGGGACAATAAAGCCCTCCCTAACCCTACCCGATACTTTTTCAACTTTTTGATTATTTCTTTCATTTTTATTGAATATAAATACCTTTCCCATGTAATGTGAGATTTGATTTCGAGCCGTCGTCTGATGAAATCAAATACACATAAGATAAAGACACTAGCTGTGCTGTGAATTCTGCTATACATGCATAACATTAGCGAAGCAACATAATATCTGGTTTAACTGACTGCGCTGCTTATGTATTGTTGCGAGGCGCTTTTTTTTGAAAAAAGCCGCTGAACACTGTGTTGGTAACACTGTGCATTTCTCTACCTATGGGCTAGGACACGGGGCAAACAGAAAATGCGCGCTGCGTTAATCGCGCGTTAATAAAATTAGTGCCGTTAAAATGAGTTTGCGTTAATGCGTTAACGCATTAATTTTGACAGCCCTAATTAAAATCTACCTGCTCTAAACTATAGGGAGCCCTTTTACATTAGGCCTACTATAAGGTTACAATTAACAACAGAGCCCAAACTTAAGTTTAATTACTATTTATTTTTAATCAACACTCAAATTAAAAAATTGTATGCAAACATGTAAATTGCACTCAATGCAGTTTTTAAATTAACTTCTAAATGATACAATTTCTATTTGTTGTTGAAGTATAATCATTTACACAGTGGCTGTCATAACTTGTTTCATAAAATATTTATTTATTTATTATATTGCACGAGCTGTGGACACTGATGACTTACTTGATGCTACGTGACATTTTGTTTACAAGCCGTTTTAATCACATCTTTCCGCTAGTGAAACACTGATTGTGCGATAACATGAGGCATGAGATGTTCATTCATGTTTATTTCACATTAAAACTAGAAGTAAAATGAAGGGACTGAAGCGTTTATACAGCGATATGTCGCGCCACATCAAAGAGCGCCAAACGGCATTTATTGTCTGAATTTCCTGAAAAAAAAAACGGAACGATTTGTTCGGTAC